TTGACTAAAAATTGGAAAAAATTGAAAGGAACTGCGGATATTTAGTTCATAGATTAATGGACTGCAGCTTTATTTTTTTCGACGTGTCACATGAGGATTATGAACATCCAAGGAGGTTTTAATTTAAATTAGAAATGTTGAATAAGAGGTCATTTAAAGCATTTATAGTTTTACGCTTCAGTAAGCAATGACCAACTGTAAAGAATTGTTAATAATGATGGATTTTTTTCCTTGACGATTACAAACTTTTATTGCTGTTTTAATTTAAATTAAACATTTTGACTAGGTGAATGTTAAAAAGTATAAACAATTTCAGTTCTCGTGTTCCACCAATTTACAAAACATTTTAAGAAATATTTATTTGCAGATTAACGAAGGGGAGCTTTATATGAAAATTATTAACAGTTAAGAGGTTTTTTATTTATTTTCTAAATACTTAGTTAGTGAATAGTAAAATATAACTATACATAATTAAGTATAAGAATAATTTTAATGATGGTTAATGATTTCTTTTTTCCAATTCTGAAAATAATTTTAAGCTTTAATTGAAATTATTAAAAGATGTTAATTCTTATTTCTCTTTTCAAAAAGATGGTTAATAATTAGAGAAAAACAATATTCTAATTCCATAAATGACGAAATCTTTCAATTACTTAAATTCAGCAATTATATTATACGTGGCTAACAAACCAATAAGCACAAACTATTAATTAAACTAATTAATTTTGAAAGAAAATCAAACCTAACATTTTTGGAACATTACATATTTCGTTCTCTACCATAAAAAGTTTAATTTGAAAATATAACGAAACTACACATTTTATTAAACTAATAATTACATTAATTAAACATTATTTTGAAAAATTATGAAACAAGATTATTAAAGTAAAAAATAATAATTGTTTCTTATAAAAATAAGAGATAACTAAATTTCATTAAGATACAGATATATATATATAACAAGGTAATATTAGTTATTATGCACCAGATTATAAAATCGTTTCTTTTCTTTCCTAACTGGTAAATTAAAATGCGTAAACAATTATTTTATTGGTTCATGTTACTTATTTCCCAAAGAGTTTTGACTGCAAATTTAAAATACAATGGAAAATTCTACATCAGTTTAATTTTTAATTTAAAACACATTAAATCAAAAATTATATGAGTTTGGAATAGATCGCCGTAAAAATAACTATTACGCAGTTTATAGGAAAACTTTTGAAAATATTATCGAAACAATTTGCGGGCTGAGATTTCGGAAAAATATTTAAAAGTATTTTCATATCGTATAATAATGCCTCTTTTTCAAGTTTATCATTCATAATTATCAAAACATAAATATATATCCGAAAGACATAAACTAATGCCTTATTTTAAACATTCAGCTGTGCAATCCGACTTGAAAACAACATTAAAATACCACCAACAAGGCCGATCTGCTGATTGTGTTTTATCAATTTCAATAATGTTTTGTAGACTTTATTCTAAAAAGTAGAAATTCTTTAAAACTTAAAATAGAGCCAAATTTGACAACATTTTAAGATAATCTTTATAAGTCAGACATTTGGTTATCGACATTTAATGGTAAAAGATAATTAAGCTTAAAAATTAAATCGCCATATGATATAAAATACTGCACTAAATAGAAATATCTAGAGTGATAGTTTCTTAAAGCAGTAGTTTTCAAAATGTTTATCCATTTAAGAAAAGGAAGAATTTTATGTCAACCACTTGACTTTTTTTCACAGTAATTCTAAAGTTTTATTCGATTTATTTTATATTAGCAATTAATGAAAATCATTTTTTAAATTATGATTTAATATATTATATTATTTTGCAAAAAAAATAAACATCGCTTCACTTAAACAGAAACAAAGTCAACAACTTCGAAAATAATCAAAAAATTAAAATGTCATGGATTATTATGAAGTGAGAGGATTGTTTTTAAGAAATTTTAGTTTCAGAATGATGTATAATCAGAAAATATTGCTAAATTTATTTAGAAATATGTAGACGTGCAGTATGATTTATTAGAAACCAAAAAGAAAAAAAGTACTTCCGCACAAATAAATTGTTGTGAAAGAAATCAGATAGTGTAGTATTTTCAGATTTAAAATCGAAAATTCTTTGGTAATCAGAGATTAATTATTTTAGTTTTTTTAATTGATCATTAGAAAAGTTGTTCTTAGATAAAACACCTTCAACATTTATTTTTATTATTTTTTTCACGTACGATGATTTAATTTTATCAACAGGAAATGCTCAACAGCGAAGTTTTTCGCATCTGCCATAATTTGAAAACGATTGAATTGAATCAATATTTTACTTCATAACTATGAAGTCTATGTTAGTCTATTAATATGTCTATAAGTATGTTAATCTACTAATGTGTTAGTCTTCATAACTACGGAGTTAATGAAATCTTTAATCCTTGAATTTGCTATTCTAAAATTGTTATTTATTTGTTTTGCCAAAAATATAAAAATGTGTTTCTTATTTTCATTTATTGTGCTTATATTAGTTTTGCTTATAATTTTCAATTATTGTGCTTAAATTAGTTTTGTTTTTTATTTTCATTTATTGTGTTTAAATTAGATTTGTTTCTTATTTTGATTTATTGTGTTTAAATTAGATTTATTTCTTATTTTGATTTATTGTGCTTAAATTAGATTTATTTCTTATTTTGATTTATTGTGCTTAAATTAGTTTTGTTTCTAATTTTCAATTATTATGCTTAAATTATTTTCATTTATTGCGCTGAACGGTTTTTTCTACATCTCTCATTTCTGTACAAAGAAATCCGCCTCTTTAATATTTTACAGCAATTTACCTAATTATAAGGAATGTAAGATTGAAGTTAACTCTTAAATTATCATTTTGAAAATTAATTTAGAATTTATGATTACATTGCTAATCCTATTTTTTAATGTTACAAAATATTTTTCATAGTAAAATTTCTTTTTTCCTATATATATATATATATATATTCATATAGGTTATTAGTGCAGGCTTTTTTCGTTTACAATTCCTATTTTATAATATAACATTTTATTTATCTTTTCTCTAATAAAATATTATATACGCTTATATTTTATCTAAAAAAATAATCAATTCAAATAAATTGGAATAGGAATGCTGATAATTACAAACATCATAAATAATATCTTTCAATTTAATTTCAGATAAAGTACTTCAATTAATTAAAATCTAAAATATCTAATGAGAAATATAATGACTCTCTCAAATTATATTACCATAAAATTGTTTAAGAACTAAAAATAAAATGTAATTTCATGTATTCTAATTAGATATACAATATCTAGCATACCTTTTTTTGTACTTGAACATCAATTAATACACTTTTATTCACACAAAGTTTTTATTAAATCTATATTTCAAAATAATCATGAACATGTTTTTTTTTTACAAAAATAATGAATAATAATCCTCTTAATATTAAAAACTGTATGGCATGAAATTTTAATCAAATTTTGTAGACTGAATAATTTAATACTAATTTAAGATATAGATCTTGGAATCAAATAATATATAGAGAGAATTACATAATTTAATATATAGAATTACATAATTTAATACATAGAATTAAAATTTTATTTTATGAATTTCAATACGTAAATGGAAGACAACTATTCAATTACTTCGACGCTTTCACCTTATAATTCATACTTCCAACAAATCCTACATTTTATCACAATCCATAAAATACAATTTATTTTTCCTGTAATGTCATTAGTTTTAAAAAACATGAAAAGCAATTTTTTTCTTCAAATTCAACTAAATTAAACATTTATTTAAAGTGTAATTGGAACTAAAATGTTTGAATTTATAATAAAGATGCAAAAATAATCTGAACTACATATATTTTTATTATTGTTATTTAAACACAGAATTGATCCCGATCAATTGTCAAAAATTAATAAATTAATTATCTATATATGCTTATGCAATGACGAATAAAATAAAATCCTATTAATGACTAGTAGCTTTATTAACTAAAAAAGGTATCTTATTTCCCTAGAATCTCTATGAAAGTAAAAAAATACAATAAAAGTAAATATATAATTAATTAATTTTTATGTGGTAATTGACGAGAACTACAAAAAAAAAATTCACATTGCTAACCAAATTACAGCTAAATTTCATATTCATTTTAAATCTTTGGCTAGTGTTTGAAGTATTTTGGGAAAATTAAAAACAAATATTTCTTTCTTACACATATAATCTGTTATAAATATATTTATCATTTGATTTTTCTAAGTTTGTTTTTAATAATTATTTTGAAAGAAAATTTTTTTACCAAGGCATAATTAATATGCAAAGACGAGCGATTGAGGGGAATTCGTTTTATTGCATTATAACTGCATAGAAAAATTAATAACAAGAAGAATTTTTAGGTTACAATTGATCAGAACTATATAAAGAAGTATTCATTTTGCATGTATATATTACAGAAATATTATATTGATTTTAAATTTTTGGCATTTGCTGGAAATGCATAGAATTCCGAAAATATACAAAATAAATATTTCTTTCTTAAACATATAACCTGCTATAAATATATTGACAAACTGATTTTCCTAAGTTTGTTTTTAATGAATAATTTGAAAGAAAAACTTTTTCACAGAAGCATAAATAAATATGTCAAGGCACGAGATAATGAGAGAAACTTTAATTTTATATTATAGTTGTACAGAAAAATATTTTTATATTATTTTTAAACGAAGTCAAAAATAATTATCTTGAAATTCTTGGAATATAAACATTGCTAACTTCTATGCACCTGAGTTTCAAATTCTCATTCAAGAATTAGATGAGAGGAAAGATAAATTTTAAAAAATACGTGTAGGCTGTATACATATAATTATTTTTTAATAAAATGATTATTTTTGTTTTTGTATCTGGATGTAACTGTCTCAAATGCAATGTTTTATCTAAATACCCATAATGAAGTCATAACAATGAAAACCAACCAAAGAGCCAACGGCCGTACCATGCTGAATATACCGGTTCTCGTTAGATCACCGAAGTTAAGCATCATTGGGCGTGGTCAGTACTTGGGTGGGAACAGGTCAGTACCTGGGAACACTGCGTGCCGTTGGCAAATTTGGGACCTGAATGGCCGAGTGTCTAGCGCTCTGGCGCTCGGTGCCACAGGTTTCGGGTTCGAATCCCGGCGGTGCCATGGATGTTTGTAGTGGTTCGGAATCCACTTTAAGCCGTAGGTCCCGGTCTCCTATGACTGTAAGAGCGTCACGGAGCAAAAGTCCGGCCTCTACCTACGGGTGCTCCATCACAACAGAAGCTGCTTCCTTCCCCTTCAATCATGAGTCCATATGGGCTCGTGGGCTTGGCCAGCCAAGTGGGATAAGAAACAACAACATAACAATGAAATAAATAGAATAGTCATAATAATGAATGACATATATTATGCCATAAAATTAGTCATAAAAGGATGCATAAATCGTGAGTAGGAGCGTGAATTGTTAAAACGCTGTTATTTCACATTTTACTACTCTTCTTTGCTTAATGTATATGAATGTGCTGTATAAAATTTTATTTTTTTTAATAAAAATACCGAAATAATTGTGTTAATAATTAAAATTTATTAAATTTTAACTTATACTTGAAAAGTAGACCTAAAATGTAATTTATTTAGTTTATTAAAAATTTCTTTTTATAAAATTATAATTTTTTACTGTTCCTTGGCATAACTATTTCCTGCATCTCAATGACTGTCAAAATTATATCAATAACTATATATGCATTTCAATGACATTCTTAATGTTTTGTGAAAACATTTGTAAAATATTACGAAAACTATTTATTAAAAAAATTTATTTTATTTTGCAAACTCCCGTAAGAGCGCTGTAAAACTTTTTTATTTTAGTTTTTCTCCCAGAGTTATTTTTAATACAAAATATCTGCAGATTTCTCAGCAAAATTTATAAGTTCCTTTTAAATATAAAATTTATTTTTAGCAAATAGAATTATTTATTAGATTTAAATTATTATGCTTTTTATTGGTAACTTTTAGATGAGGAAAAAATAAATCCATAATTACAACAAATTTAACAATTTAATAGCTACAATAAAATATTTTTTCCTTTATAAAATTGAATTATTACATCGTATTTCTCTAAAAATGTAACTCTTTCACTTAACACATCATTTAACAATAGTAAAATGTTGTCAACGGTACTTAATATTAATCAGATTTTTGTCACTTTCAATAAGAATCATAAATTTCTTAGCGAAATAAATTCCTCATAATCTATTTTAAATCGGTTCCTATTACACGCCATGTTATAGTATCACTTCCCAACTAATCCATCATCTATATAAAAAAAAGCAGTTGACAACTTTTTATACTATACCAGACTAAAAATTAAATTCCTACCATATGAATTAGCAATAAATAAAGTTCCCAAATCAAACACATTTTCCCAAAAAGCTACTTCAAAATAACTCTGCAAGTTCTCGAAACGATGAGGGGGAGCGATTATTAAAGGATGTGAAACAGAAAAAACATAAAAAGATTTATTGTTCCCCGTAGAGCGAGCATTAACTGAAATCCCTCTCACTTATTATCTTACTTTCCATTCATGCCCCATCGGCCACAGTTTCGCCAAATTAAGACGACGATATTTTTGGCCACAACCATTTGTCACAATCGCTTCTCCCTCTATCAGTGGCAAAGGAAAGAAGAAAAAAATTAAACGTAATAGCTTAGATAAAAGCTGTCAAAGTCGCCCCCGATGCCAAACCGAGAGGCAGTCAACGCCTGATTGACTGGTACTTGGAAGGTATGCGGCGCCACTTTGCTGACAATTGAAGCGAGATGAAAAGCGATGCGAAATGATCCGAAAGCCTGTCAATATATTGACCACAATTACTCCCTCTCTATTCTTCCCATGAATAAATCGCGATCAACAACACGTGTTACAACTATTCACCGGGAGCTTTTAGAAAACTCCTGCGGCGTCTTAGCGAAAACTTTCTCGATTTAACACACTCGCCCCTTAAAAGTCGTCGGGAAGATTTGCTTATTTTAGGGGCGAACCTCCAAATGATCTTCGGGTCCCCTCCCATGTGACACGGACAGGGGCACTTAAGCAAGATTTGCAGGAGGCGGGAAACGGCAAGCCTTCAAGAAAGACCTTTGTAGCGACTCGAGAGGACTTAGCTGTCTTTGTGTTGCGGATGTTATGGTTCTTAACTCATTAGAGGAACGGAAGTAGGGGCACGTGGAAGTGATGGCTTTTCGGAAACAAATGCGTGGATTTCTAACTTATTAATTGACAGGTTCGGAAACGAAAGTCTTTACAAGTGATGGAGGAGGAAAAGGGTAATTAGAAATTTGATTCCGGCTATTGGGACGAGCTTCGTGGCATTTTAAATTTCGAATGGTCAACTTGTCTGTTTCAAACTGAGTTAAGAGAAATACTTCATAAACATCAAATTAATGATTAAAAACATCAGTGTTAATTGCTTTTAACTACGCTCGCAAGTAGCATTTCTTCCTGTCTCGAGAACTAATGCTTCTCTAAAAATAAGTATCCTGATTATCATTGAAACCTTTTAAAGATTTTGAGGAAAAGGAAGAGAATAATCATATATTTAGTTTGCACTTTTATCGATGAATTTTAAAATACACAAATTGAATTCAATCAAGCATTCTTTTAAGAGTCACGTGAAAGTGATGACTCGGAAACAAACGTCCGGATTTCTAAATTATTAATTGACAGGTTCGGAAACCAAAGTCTTTACAAGTTATGGAGGAGGAAAAGGTAATTATAAAGTTGATTCTGGCTACTGAGACGAATTTCCGTGGCATTTTAAATTTAGAAGAGTCACCTTACTTGTTTCAAACTGAGTTAAGTGAAATCCTTCATAAACATCAAATTGATGATTAATAAAATATCGGTGCTGATTGATTTTGACTATGCTTACAAGTAGTAATTTTCCCTGTTTCTAAAACTAATGTTCTTTTAAAAATAAGTATACTGACTAACATGGTTGGATTGGAGACTGAAACCGTTTAAAGATGCTGAGGAAAAGGAAGAGAATAGTTTGCACTAAATCAATGTATTTTGAAATATACAAACAGAATTTAATCAAGCCTTCTGTTTAGTAGGGTGCATGAAAGTAAGGACTTTTCGAAAACAAATGTCTGGATTTCTAACTTATTAATTAACAGGTTCGGAAACGAAAATCTTTACAAGTGATGGAGGAGGAAAAGGGTAATTAGAAATTTGATTCCGGCTATCGGGACGAATTTCGTGGGATTTTAAATTTCGAATGGTCAACTTGTTTGTTTCAAATGGAGTTAAGAGAAATGCTTCATAAACATAAAATTAAAGAATTATAAAAAATTAGTATTAGTTGCTTTTATCTATGCTTGTGGGTCGAAAGTTTTTCATATTTCGAAAACTAATGTTTTCCTAAAAATAAGTACTCAAATTATTGATGGGTTGAAGACTGAAAACTTTTAAAGATACTGAGAAAAAGGAAAAGAATAATCACAAATTTAGTCTGCACTATTATCAAGGAATTTTGAAATACACAAACTGAATTGAATCAAGCCTTCTTTTTAATAGAGCCATGTGAAAGTGATGATTCGGAAACAAACGTCAGGATTTCTAATTTATTAATTTACAGGTTCGGAAACCAAAGTCTTTACAAGTGATGGAGGAGGAAAAGAGTAATTAGAAATTTGATTCCGACTATTGAAACGAGTTTCGTGGCATTTTAAATTCCGAATGGTCGACTTGTTTGATTCAAGCTGAGTTAAGAAAAATGCTTCATAAACATTAGTATTAATTGTTTTTAACTACCTTGCTCACATACACAAATTAAATGCAATCAAGCATTTGCTTTAGTAGAGTCACGTGAATGTGATGACTCGGAAACCAATGTCCGAATTTCTAACTGATTACTTGACAGATTCGGAAACCTAAGTCTTAACAAGTGATTTAGGAGTAAAAGGATAATTATAAATTTGATTCCTTTTCGTGATATTTTAAATTTTGACTGGTCAACTTGTTTGCTTTGAATTTTGAACTGAATTAAGTGAAACGCTTCATGTATATGAAATTCAAAACTAATAAAAAAATCCATGTTAATTACTTTTAACAATGCTTGAAAGTGGCAGGTTTTTCTTGTGTTTTTTTTTTTTTTTTTTTTTTTTTAAATAATTAGCCAGATTTTCAAGGATGGATTAGAGAATAAAATCATTTTCAAATGATAAAGCAAAGGAAGAAGACAATCATAAATTTTGTTTGTACTTTGTGTATTTGAAAATTTATTGATCAAACTGAATTAAATCCAGGCTTCATATGTATTCTAATGAGCCTGGAGCGAACTGAGGATGTCCGGTTCATCATCTGATAAGCAAGTCTATGTCATGGGCAGGCACAATAAATCAATAGGCCGGAAATTCCTTCCATTAAATTCCAAGAAGAAACCTAATGTAAGAATTTCGTTATGGAAGGTTAGTTTGAAATTACCTTGGTACAATATGGGTGCATTGTAGTTTCCAATTATTAGTATGATTCCTAGATAAAATTGAATCTGCTACACACTTGCGCTTAAGTGGGGAATGACTTTAGAATAGAATAGAATACTTGGCATTTAAAAACATTTATATTAAAATCATTTAAATAACCTTACCTTTTAAACTAAATTAAATTTAAAAATTAACTGTAAGTTAACCAGTTAATTTTTATACATAAAAAAGAGAGGAATCATTTTTATACATAAAAACTAACTGATTAACAGCAAAAATGAGATATATAGTATGAGTGATTTATAGCAAAATATGTTAACTGTAATTTTATATATTTCTGAAACTGTTTATAACGAGATTGTTATTTTTATTTTTAAATTTAAGTTACTCTTTAGTAGATTCTAAAAATAAAGATTTCCCAAATAATAGAGAAAAGAAGTCATTATATATTTGTTCGTTTTATTATTACTTGACCAGTTTAAAATTTGTCATCCAATTATTTGAAAATAAAAAAATTATTCCTCTGATATTGAATTGCAAAAATGGGCATGGAGTTGAACATGTTTTTTTTTTTTTTGAAATTTGAGATAAA